TTATTTTATAACTTATAATTTTTAAAAATTTTATATTATAGTTTCGGAGTTTCGGATTATAGTTTTGGAGTTTTGGGTTTCGGAGTTTCGTATTTTTTTCAAAAATCCGAAATTAGTTTCGGATTAGAACCTTCCAAAACTAGTTTCAGGTAGGTTTCGTTTCGAGTGCCAACTCTAATTCTGATGATTTGATTAATGATCCAGAAAGAGTTTTGAAGAAATATTGCAAGTTAATTGGAGAGGAATATAAAGAAGAAATGATTCATTGGGAGGCAAAACCTGTTAATGAGTGGAGCAGAGGCGAAAATGCCTCTATTGTTGTAAAAATGTTCCAGTAAATATATTTTATTTGAAAAATATAAAGTGTTAATTTTGTTTAATTACTAACATAAATAAATATCCACTAGTAATGCGGAAAATAGTACAGGCTTTAATGAGTTTACTAATAAATATGATTATGAAACTGTATATCCACAAATTGTCTATGATGTTATCGCTGAAAACAAATCGTATTATGATTATTTATATCAGTTCAGGATTTAATTAACATGTAAAAAGAAAACATTGCATAAATTATTTGGCTAGAAGGGATTAAAATTTCTTTTTTATATTGCTTATTTGTTTATTATTTGTGATTATAATTTTTTTGATAATTTCATCATGAGAAATTTTAAATATATTTAACGTAGAACCTTTGTGCGAATCTTATGTATATAAATGTAAGACATGTTTTATTTTTATTATTTAAATAAAGAAATAAATAAAATATACATTTATATCCATTTAGTATATCATTAAACCAGACTCTATTAATTATTAGTTTAAATAAATAGAAAATCTCATCATTCTTGTAATATCAATGTTCATAAATTCATAAGCATTTTTTCAATCTGAAATTCGTTAGACAAATCCAGCTATTTTTATAAATGTAAAAAACATATTTGTTAAATAATCACATTGATTAGTCGGGTTTAGTCGCCAATTTTGTTAACTTTTCACTTAATTGATATTGATTTCAGATTACTAAGGGTTAGAGACTGGACTCGAGTCAACTCGTAGCTTAAAAAACATAGCCTTAACTCTAGTCAAGACTATGTTTTTTAAGCTACGAGTTGACTCGAATCTAGTCTCTACTAAGGGTTACCTGGAGTTTAACTTTTATATCAGCCAAATCAGTACAATCATCGTCTAAAAACTTGTTGATAAAAACAATATACGAGAATGTAGTTATTAATTTTAATAAGCTGGTAGGAGTTAGAGTTAGCCAGCAAAGTTGATCTTTTTTTTTTAAAAAAAAAAAAACGACTTAATCAATTATAAATAATAAAATTATGAAGAATTATCATTACATGGAACTCTGAGGGTGCTCTCAACCGCCTCAATCATTGAGTCAAATGTGTTCTTGACCATGTCTAAATTTTTTAATGTCGGCACTACTCGTGTAATATGTTTATTATAAAAGTCTATTTTATATCTAGAGGATTTTTATATTTCTTGACAATATTTTAGCATTCTCCATAAGTTATCGCACAATCTAAACACTTTCAAAATATTCAACCAAAATTTGTAACATTGAATGTGTCAACATTTATAATGATAAAATTATCTGTAGAACAAGTAGTATACAGCATAGCGGGCTTTATTATGATTGGTTG